TGAATCAACCATGTCCTACATCTCACAAATACAATCAACAAACTACACAAAACTGACAGCATTTCATGTAATTTTGTAATACTAATTTATGTTCCTATATAACATTTGAGAAGAATCAAAGAATATATAAGGAGTCGACTGTTATCTAGAGGCTGTATTACTCTTAATAGTCGCAAAAGTGCCTTTTCTAAAGCCAATTATTTTCCGATTAGTGAGCAAATGTTCTTTGGGCTGACTGGCCAAGTTGGCTAACGTACATCGGGTCATCTCTGCAGCTACAGTATAATCCTACTTTGAGATATAGTAGTAGGCCAAGGACGTCAATTGTAAACAGAGTGCATTCATAAAGTGCTTTCCTAGTCTTTGCTAGCCCTTAAAGCGCTTTTACACGTGAGTTAGAATGAACCTATTCACACACATTCATAAAGACGCAGAGGCTGTAATACAAGGCACCAAGGAGACGTAACACTCACCCACACTCCTACATGGTTGGCCATCGGGATTTAGGCTTAGTATCTTGCCCAAGGACACATTGACCTGTTGACTGCAGGAGCTGGGGATCGAACTATCAACCTCCCAGCTGTCCCAGACCCCCCGGTTCATTTAGCATACGCTTTATTCCTGTTTATCTTAAGTCCATTATCACAGAGAAGCTAAATGGCATTTTAATTTTCTTTGTACACAGTCAGACTATTGTGTGGATTGTTGGTTTGGACTGTACCAACTTAAAAGGTTGTAGAAAGAAGTGTCATTTTATTAAATGCTTTTCTGAATTGCAAGTTATTTGGGTCAGAGACGTTTATTTTGGTTTTGTATTTCCGGGTTTCTTTTGATTCTTTGAGTGCCTTTGTTTCTGGATCCTATGAACTGGAATGGACTTATGTTGGTGTTCTACCCGACTGGATTGAACTATATATATCTATATATCTGTGTGTGTTATTTTGTATTGAAATATAACTGAATAGAAGGTGATTCGTTTTGCACAGCATTGCGGTTTATGTGCTGGATTATTGAATGACTTTGTGTATGGTTTGATTTAACTATTTTTGTTCCTTTGTCGATTATTATTTGTCAGACTTGTTTCTGACACTCATTAAAATAAAGTCAAACCCGTTACAAGACATAGTAATATGATCTTTGAGATAGGGTGCTTTTATAAAACCACCTGATCGCAGCGACTGTACTGTATGATCCGACAGTGGCCGTTGAGCAAGGCACCGGACATCCCCCTTCCCCCCCTCACTCCCATTGCTCCCCGGGCGCTGTACAATAGCTGCCCACTGCTCCTAGTAATACTCCTGGTACTAGGATGGGTTAAATGCAGAGAACACATTTCACTGTGTGCTCTGCATGTGTGACCATTAAAGAGGGTTTCATCCCTCCATATTCTATTATATTCTATGAAAGCTTATTTTTCAGAAAGTTGGGCCGCAAAACTAAAACTCTACTCGTTTTATTTGAATAACGGCGATGTGTTTGCTCCACTTTTCCAGGTGCACCTGAATGAGTTCATGCTTTTGGCCTGAAGGCATTTCATCTAGAAATATCATCAAGGACACACGTGTTCAGCCATTTGTGACCAGACAGCGTTGGGCCTGTTATTCAGCCACCTGCTGCTGAGGCAAGGTTACATGAAGGGCCATTATTCCTGCTCGCACACGTGCACAAAACACACTCTGGAAGAAGTGGTGATATAGCTGCAGGCCCACCCACCCATCACGAGGGGTCCTGATTGTGAATTAATTTATCCCAGACATACACACGTACCGGACAAAACCATCAATTCCCATCTTTGGCAGATTAATTATTTAATGGTCCGACCGCTGTCCTCGCATAGCTCTGAATATTAATATATATTTAGGTCACATTTGTATTCCGGCGCTGTTGGATTATGCAGACTGGAGAACTTGATGATTCAGTGCAATTTCACGGTGCCGACATCCAAAGTAGTATCGGAGCGGGGGGTTTCAGAGGGGATCTTCCTCTTCTTTGTTGTGCAGATTTCTGGGACAGACCGATGTCTCTCTCGTGCTCAGACTGAAATTCATCCTCTTTCGTTGCCAGTTTTCTTTTCTTTCTTCCGGCTGGATGTCTCTCTCTGGAGTCGAGCTGCCAGACTTTCCTCCGTGGGAACGCTCGCCGTTAGAAAACACAGCAGATCATTTGTATTTGCCAAAATCCTGCAGTGCACTCATTTGAACATGCAAGCACACACACAGGTAGTTTCTCCAGCTGTGAAGAGTAACTAAGTACAAGTACTGTACTTCAGTACAAATCTGAGGTCCTGAGCATTAAGCTGTTTTTTACTTTTACTCTTCTAACTTTTTTAGGCAAATGTGGCACTTTTTGTATTCTACGGTTTTCAGGTTAATATTTGTATTTGAACCAGGAAAGGGAAAACCCCCAAAAAGCATTATAGGGCCTCTTTAATATAATTCTGCGAAGATTAAAAACATTTGTTTTATTGTTTTCAGCTTTTTTCTTGCTATTTAGAATTTTAAATGTGTTCGTTATAATCTACTGACTTGACACTTTATGCTTGACATCAAAAGTATATTCAATCAATCAATCAATCAATCAATGTTTATTTATATAGCCCAATATCTCAAATGTTACATTTGTCTCAGTGGACTTCACAGTTTGTACAGAATATCAGTATGACAATACGACACCCTCTGTCCTTAGACCCTCACATCGTACAAGGAAACACTTCCAGAGAGAAACCTCACAGTTTAAAGGGAAATATGGGAGAAACCTCAGGGAGAGCAACAGAGGAGGGGTCCCTCTCCCAGGACGGACAGACGTGCAATAGATGCCGTGTGTAAATCAAAGAGATAATACATTTACAACATAGGTAGACCAAATGTTTGGAAATGCATGTGTCTATAATAAGAAGATGAATCCACGAGGATGTCAACAATCCTGTGGGAGCCATCAGGGAAGTAGTATGATGAGAGTCAGGCAGGACCACAGTGACAGGTTCAGCCACGACTCGAAGTCCAGGACTCAGATCAGGACTCAGGACTCAGGTTCAGCCACGACTCAGGATCCCAGCGTAGATAGACACCAAAAAGACATTTGGGGGAAGCTGGGTTATTGGGAACATGAGAGTACACAGGTACAGACAGACAGAAGGAAGAAGTAAGGTGTCCCCGACAGTCTAAGCCTATAGCAGCAACACTAGGGGCTGATGATTCAATAGAGAAAAGGACATGAGGTAGGGAGGAAAAAGGAAAGGAAAGATGACCTTGAAAGGAAAGAGATGAGAGACAGAATAACGGTAAGTAAGTAAAGGGCATCCTCTGGAGATTTCCACTTGTAGCATATTTTCAAACCTGGCGAACTTTCATTAACGATATTGAATTTATTTTCCATTACCCAGAGCATCATTAATGTAACGGTGAGGGTTTGGCTCCAGGCTGTTTCACTACAGTGGAAATGATGCTCTGTGAAAAGCAAGCCTTACTTTGAATAGAGTGCTGGAGAAGAAGTTGCTGAGAGTGAAGGTGGCACTTTACTGGGAGAGTTTCCGGAGAACCAATTTAAGTCTTTGGCAAGTTGGTGTAATTTCGGTCCAATTTGCACTCGAACGAGGAGAAAACATCATGTTTGTGTTTGGAGTCAGGAAAATATTTAGGCATTAATTTTAGTTTGGGTTAGATTGAAATGAATTTGAAAGTTTGTTTGTTTTCATAAAATAATGTTGGCACGGAGGAAAGTATTTTCTTTGTTTTAATACAATCAGTGCTCACATGTTTTACATTAAGAGGCCCTATGATGCTCTTTGGGGTTTCCCTTTGCTGTAGTGTGTTCTTTAGGCTTTAATGCATGTCAATGGTCTGCAGAGGCTAAAATCCCTGTGTTCCCTCAAGAAGGAGTTTATCTCCCATGATTCTATATGACTATATAACATCACAAAGCTTCTGTCTAGCTAGAACATACTGTTGATATACGATAGGATACGATAATACTTCAATGGTCAGATCAAGTCTGAAATGTGACTTGCATCGCAGCAGCTCCATGTGTAACATCAACAAATATCAAGACACAACACATGAAAAAACATTTAACAGAACAGAACAATCACTGAGAGAAAGAGCCTTCAGCGTGCATTTGATCTGGGATCAGCTCTGTATTAACTGTAAGGATGGACCCTGTATCTCCGATTCGATGGTAGCCGTTCATATAGGGGTCAGACGTGAGTGACCTGGCTCTCTAAAGAAAAGAATGCCTATCCCTCGTCACATCCCAGTCACAGATCAGACCACTAAAAAAACTATTGTAAATGTAAAAGCTGTTTTATATAAACATGTGTTTCAAGCCATAGCTAGTGGGTTACTCATTTAGTTTCCAAAAAGAGGCATACCTTTTTCTGTAGCCAATAGTTGTCTACATTGGCATGTGAGGTATCAGCAGAAAAGGGTCACATGGAACCTGGGATTATTTAACGTCTGGGGGGACAGAAGATGTAACATGAGGTCAGTGGGAGGTCAACTACGTAGTACGCCGTTTTGAGCAGCATGTAAGCTCTGAGATTCTCTTAGACTAAAGGGACATTACGCTTTAGACTGCTTTGAAGAAAGGTAATGTGTCTCTTGTAATGCTGCACAGCAATATCATATGTGGCCGTAAGACTGTTAAACACCTGAACTTTTGACAAACATTCATCTGGCTGCTATTTAGAAATCATGTATCTAATATATCATATTCAATCTCTTGCATATAGACTCTTATTGCACTATTCCACTATTTCACTTTTTTTCTTTTTGTATTTACTTGCACTGTTATTTCTGTTTTGTGTTGCTCTGTTGGAGGAGCCTGTGACCTCAGATTCTCATCGTCATAACTACACTGTAGCTATGTTCGTATGACCAATAAAAGCCTTGAACTTGAACCTTGAACCTTGAACCTTGAACCTCCAGCCATCTCTGTGTCTGTGTTTTATTGATTCCTCTTTGCTTTCTATGTTCCCCCATTGATTGCTTGTGTTCCTCCCCCAGGGGTGAAGGCGGTGTTTTCGGGTCATTACCACCGTAACGCGGGGGGTCTGCACGACGGGCTGGACATGGTGGTGAGCTCAGCGATCGGCTGCCAGCTGGGCGACGACGCACACGGCCTGCGGGTGGTGCTGGTGACCGACGAGGCCATCGTGCACCGCTACGTCAGCCTGGAGCAGCTGAGCGTGGGGGGGGCGGACCGAGACCTCCAGGAGCTGCTGCAGGGATGAAGGAGGAGGAGGAGGAGGAGGAGGAGGAGGGGAAGGGGAAACCAGGAAAACCGGGAAAAATCTCAGTATTTCTTGTGCTGTTTTGAGCCCCCTGCACTCGAAGGCACACAAGAAGGTTTTCACATGTTTTATTTTGAGTCCTTTCCATAATGTTTTCTGACAGATAATAATACAAATCAATTTAAATCTGGAGATATGGAAAGGAATCCCCAACAATCACCAGTTAGTCTTTCTAAACTCTTAACTGCCATTTGTTAACCCAAAACACTTTAGAAAGTACTGATTCATAATTGTTATGGACATACATTGACTGTTGCATACAAAAACATGGAAAGATGAGGTTAAAGTATTACAAAAGTTTGCATTTTAAAACCAACAATTATTCATTAGGCGCTTTCACACCGCAGTACTTTTCCCACAAAGGTTCATCAGTACTTAGTTCATGAGAACTCTTTAGTTCTCATGAACTAAGTACAGATCGCGTTCACACCGGAATAAGATCCCTGAGGGAAGATTACGCAAATGAAGCCACTGACGTCACTTCTTCTTCTTCTGCTTTGGGTTTACTGGCAGGCCGCAAACCACTTCACGGCGTATACTGCCACCCGAAGTCCCCGGCCGGAAGTCCCCGGAGTTGGGGACTGGCTTCAGTAGAAGCTGCTGGGACCCCCAGCAGCTTCTACTGAAGCCTTCAGAGTAAATCGCCAGAACGCCGACACCTCCTCATCTCCACCGCTCCCATGTTTTATTTTGTGTTGCCATAAGTTAGTCTCTCTGCGTTTGTGCGCTGGGCGAATGCTAATGCTAATAATGCTAATGCGAGGATAATAAAATGGTGGTTTCACAAATCTTTTTGGGAGTTTTACGGGGCGTGGTTTGCAATCCGCCCAGCCAATCAGACATAGGAACCTTTTTCTCCCACGAAAGTCCCTGCTCTCTAGCAGGGACTGAAAAGGGGGTAAAAAGGTTCTCATGAACTAATTTGAGTTCCGGATATTTTTGGTGTGAACGCGACATTTCAGAACTATATCGGAACTAAAGTGGGAAAAGTACTGCGGTGTGAAAGCGCCTATTGATGCCAACCAAATGCTGTTCAAATTATACTTAAAATGTACTTGAATGTATGTTTTCTCTCTAGTGGCTCTAATCATTGTTTTCGTCTCTGCCTTTGCCGACTCAAAAGAGACACATAAGAACATTGAATGTGTTATGAAACTGTGTTAGAAGTCAGCTGTTGTCCGTGTAGCTTTAAAGATATCTACTCCAACAACTCCTAGAGGTGGATTTCCTTCAAAGAGGAAAGGAGGAATATGAGGAAAGGGTAAGGAAGACTTGGTTAAATTCACTTCAGTAATGATTAAAGTTTGTTGAAAGGCATCATGGGAAACGTAGGAAATCATAATGTATATACAAATAGATCACACAGGTGGAAATGAAGGATACTTTTTAGCTTCAGTCTAATCTTATATCAGTATTTAAATGATCCTATAAATCCAGCACACGCAGCAGATTTCACTTTGGCTTCTTTTGCTGCTAACCTATGCAAACTAATCACATACATAATGTGTTCTGTATAACGTGGTACGATGTTAAGATGTCTGCTTTAGTTACTCTCTCAATATACTGTATTGTAATCAGCTTGATTAGAGGATTATTGTATCATTTGTTTTCTTAATCCTTATCAATTACAACAAAAATGACTATATTCTTTTTTACTTAAAGCTATAATACTAAGGAAGTCAGTGTATGTTTGATAAAGAAACGTTTGCAATAGAAAACGGGTAAAAGCAAAGACACATTTATGATGAATTTTTGATATGTTCAGTTATCGCTGAGTTTCTCTCACAGTCTGATATAGAAGCTCTCACTCCTGGAATCACCTTTAAAGTGACGATTCTGCACGAAAATGACTTTCTCTCTGAGCCCTAAATGACTACTGGATTACACACACACACTCACACACACACACACTGTACGCTCCTGCATACACACAATTGGTTGTGTTGCTGAAGGGTTTCTATGACAACTCGCCTAAATTCCCTGTGTGTGTGTGTGTGTGTGTGTGTGTGTGTGTGTGTGTGTGTGTGTGTGTGTGTGTGTGTGTGTGTGTGTGTGTGTGTGTGTGTGTGTGTGTGTGTGTGTGTGTGTGTGTGTGTGTGTGTGTGTGTGTGTGTGTGTGTGTGTGTGTGTGTGTGTGTGTGTGTTGTGGTCTGTAGGTGATTTTCCATCAGTGACCTCATTTCACACTGACGGTTCTGTCTCTTTTTCGAAAAGTCAAAATGTGATGGAGGTGGAAGTTAGGGGGGAGGTGGGGTGGGGGGGGTTCTGGGAGGACTGTTCTGTATAATGAGTGCGATGTGTCGACTCAGTCCATTTCCTTCATTTCCTGTCAGAGGAGGAACCTGAAGTCTTTATCTATTTTTATATCCTCAGAGTAACAGGACTCCATCACTGTGTTCTTTATCTTTGCTGTGTGTAAAATGGAGCTCCTCTGCTCCGTGAATCAGGGACCGAGCGAACAGGACACCATGACTGTGACATAATTGGTTGTATTTTTTATAATAAATCTTGATTTTATATAATGATGGCAGTGTGTTCCTGTGTTTTTTGTATTGTGTTCAATATTCTTTACAGAGGCCCTGAGAGGCAGCGATTAAAATATGTTTTGTGTGTTCAAAGTGCAAAGTTGAATTATCAGTTTTACAAACACACACAAAAACTCAAAGAAACTTTTTTCCCAACTGTTTCATTTTTTGTGAAAAATAATTTTTTCTAAAAGTATTTAGAAAAGTACTCTAACCAAAATGAACAAAAAACTTTTGATTTATTTTACAGATATTTATAAAAAATATTTAAAGGTCACCTATCATGCTATTTTTAGGCAATAGCATAGGTCTCAGATATATCCAAATATATAAAAAACATGTCTATGAAGTGTTTTGCTCAAAATACCAAACAGATCACCCATTCTAGCCATGCCTCATATCCCTCTGTTTCACTTCCTGTTTCAAAAGTGCTGATTTGGGGTATAAAGCTTTAAAAAGAAAAAAGGAGGGGGCTGAGCTCATGCGGGACCCGGCAGCTACCGTCTAAACTAAATACTGCCGTGATGAAACGCCATATCATGGATTATCAAGGATTGTTTCTGAGACAGTATGGAGCTCAAAGGCTTTCTCTCTTGCCGGTTATACCACAAGGTGAGTTCCTTTTTATTTCCTGCTTCTTCACACACATGCTCTCCAGTACAGGTTAGCTCTGAGTGTTAGCGATGCTAATGTAAACAAATACCATATTACGTCCAAAACAGTCGGGCATTGTTTCTGATAGCAACGTTTCTGATAGGGCCGTGGGTCCACATTTCCGATATTACGTCATATCGGACGCAAATCTGGATCAGCTCCGTTGTAGCCCCGTTTTTAGAGATTTGGGTACGGAGGAAAAGAGAGAGGGTTTTATTTTCTGACGCTGCGTGAGTTCACTGACACACCGGGGACACATGTTTATGTATAAAAGACATAAAAAAGTGCATTTTGCATGATAGGTCCCCTTTAAACATTTTTAAAATTGTTTTTCACACCCCAAAAAATAATGAAGTTGGAAACAATATCCTGATTTGTTTCACCTGTTTTTAAACACTCAAACAAAGGAGAAAAAACATGACCTTTGAAACTGGATCATCTTGAATTCCTCAATCTTTTTCAGGGCACGTGTTTTATAAACAGTATTGAGTCGTAACTCCTATCGATTAGAAACCTTTTGAAATAACGACATTCAATTACACTTTAAACCCAACCTGTCGCTCTGCCTCTTATTTACACCCCAGGGTTACAGAGAGGTGTTTATATTTACCAACATTACAATATAATCAGTAATTAATATTTCTCAGTAATTCAGCTTCAGGACTGTTTCATAACGTTTCAACATGTCTGACCTAAGTTACCATGGAAACCTTTTCTACCTTTTCAATGGACAGGTTAGTAAAAGGCACTTAAGGATTAATCAGTGATAATTATAATAAACCTTTTAATTGTATAGTGCTTTAGAGGCTACTGAAAGGCCCTTCACATGGTTACCAAGACTTTAAAAGCAATAACTATTATAAAAGCAAATAAAACAACAATGGGGTGGGGGGGGGGGGGGGGGGTGCTAATGGATCGCAGAGTAAAAGAGGATTTAAATAAGTGTTTAGAGAGAGAGAAGAGATCGCTTTATCCTGAGCCTGTGGAGGTTTTTAAGGTTATGCTTCCCGCGGAAAAGCTTAAATTATCTTTTTTATTATTTAAAAGTTAAATTAGTCTCTCAATATTTTGAAGTCGTTTTTTGTTGTTGCCTCTGGGGTTTACTTAGTAGTTGGATAGAGGAAAGGTAAACACCCTAATTTAATCTTGCCTTGTCATGTTAAGCTCCTTCCACCCATTTCATGACTCAGCGAATTTTACCTGCTTTCTGTTCCAGTGTCTTTACTTTCCAGTTAGATTTTTTATTTTTTATTTTACTTTATTTATTTGTAATTATTTTTATTTATTTGTAAAAAAAAATATTTATTTGTAAAAGAAAATTGTTTTTTTGCATTGTATTTGATTGAACAACGACCATGTATAGTTACGCTAGTGCAGGGGTGTCAAACTCAAATACACAGTGGGCCAAAATGGGTACAGTACTAGTCGAGGGCCGGACTGGTTCAATGTTTATAGCAAAACTTACTGAAATGAATTTATTGCACATATTAAACCTGGAACTAACAAAGCTTCAATGATTGCCTATAAAAACAACATTAAACATTAAATAATCAGTTGCATTCATTTCTTATGGCTCTATCTGCAGCTTTTCCAGAGTCATTTCTTATGATTACATTTTTCCACAGGCCAACAACAGCTTCAAAAAAACAATTTCCCTCAAAGAACAAACCAAACATGCCCTGTTGTCTCAAGAAAGTGCAGAAGGAAACATCCATTGCAACTCAGTGTGCTGCTCTGTGATGCTAGCTCAAGCCAGATACTTGGCATCTCATCTTGGGTGCAAGTTCATCAATGTTTGGGGTCAGGCTCTGAGCTGAGGAGATCCTCAGGATTGAGTGAAGGTGTGCGTGCAATAATTGTAATAGTAATTAGAAATGATCCTGCGGGCCGAAATTAAATCCACCAAGGGCCTGAATTGGCCCCCGGGCCTTAAATTTGACACATGTGCACTAGTGCTAATCCTACACTTACCTTCTTCTATAATGATATTTGAAGAATAGATTTTAATTTTCTTTTAATTCCAGCTTGTTAGGGGCATCATTTTGCACCCGACACTAAAGCAGGAAGCTGTTTCTATTCTAATCTGCAGACATTTTCATGGCAACCTTTCATTTTCATTAACAAACGACATTCATATTCTATTCATATTGAACTGTTGCTCAGAGGTTGTTTCTTTCTCACCTTTTTTCAGGACAGGAGAACTATTGT